GAATATTCAATTGATTTATTATATATTTCATAATAAAAATCAAACAAAATGTCTTCCTTTTTAAATTGTGGAATTGTTATTGAACATTGAGGTTCTGATTTTCGATAAGATTTATTATTAAAATATTATTTATGAATATTCAATTGATTTATTATATATTTCATAATAAAAATCAAACGAAATGTCTTCCTTTTTTAAATTGTCGAATTGTTGTTCAACATTGAGGTTAGGATCTTTTTTTTTTTTTAAATCATTTTTTATATTTGACGTAAAGAAAGAGCAAAAAAAGATAATTTACAAATCCGGAACTTGAGTTATTCTATGACAAATTGTTGTTGAACATTGAGGTTATGGTTTTTTTTTTCTTCTTTTTCTTTTTTAAATCATTTTTTAGATTCAACATAAAGGAACAGAACAAAAAATATAATTTACAAATACGTAACTCGAGTTATTCTACGATAAATTGTATGTACCCGTTAATTTTGATAATGATATGCAATCATTATCGATGTATGAGATATTTTATTGATAACAGATCTGTTTTTTTTTCTTTTTTTTGTAAATTCGCGTGCATCATTAAGAATGTATTATAAAGTTAAAAATGAACATTAGAGAGAAAGAAAGAGAGAGAGAGAGAGAGAGAGAGAAAGATCGATATTCTCATTTTTACACGCGATTATGACGTGTGATTTCCATTCGCGTTGGAGAAAGTAGAATTCATTAATTTCGAGACATATATCGATCTCATTTTCGTTTTTTCTTTCTTTCTCTTTCTATCTTGTATATAGTTATTTTCATTTTTAATCGAATTCACTTTTGATATTCGATATCAATATTGTCCATTAAACAAATATATGTATCATTGATTGATAAAATAATCTTATAGGTTAAGTGAGTTCAAAAGTAACACAGAAGCCATTTTTATATCTTAGTCAAATGAATTACTTTCTCAAAAAAACAAAAAAAAAACAAAAATAAATAATTTTCGAAACTTTTCAATAGGCCCATGTAATTTAATAAATTATAAAATAAATAAATAATGTTAATAAATTAATATAAAACATTAACACTTGATTGACGTTCGGTTAAAATATAAAAACATAAAATACTTAATGTGCATTTAATATACAATCTAGAAATGAAAGAAATTGAAAATGTTGGAAAATAGGAAATTTGATAAATAATATTTAAAAAAAACAAAAGAATAAAGAAACCAAATAAAAGGAATTAAAAATAAAATAATATACAAAGAAATAAATCAATAATGATAATAAAAAAAAAAAAATAAATATGTAAAATATCATATAACCTTTAAATGCGAATTTTCTATTCAGAACAATACTAAAAAAAATAATAATAATAATAATAAAAAACAAAATGTAAAATATTATATATATGTTATATATTATTATAAATATGTAATAAAAACATTAAAAAAAAATATATAATAAATAAAAACATAAAAAATAAAACATAATGAATAAAAATATAATATATTTAATAAAGAAGCTAAAAATGAAAGAAATTAATAAAAAAAAAAAATAAGAAATGCCCGATAAATAAAATAAAACAAAAACAACAAAAAGAAAAAAAAGAGAAGAAGAAAGAAATGAAAAAAAGAAAAAAAGAAAAATTGGTTATTCCACGATTCGACTAAGAATCTCGTCATCGACAACCAGGTAAGTCTCACTCATTCGCGATGGTGAAATTTTTCTCTTCCACGCAGGTCAATGGGTCGACACGGCTCGTGAAGTGAATAACGGTTTTTCTTAGCTCTTTACAACTCTTCCTTTCCTCTCTTGGATTACAACGCACGCGATCATATTATAGCCGTTTCGACGATGAAAATCGAAAGTGTAAGTTCCTTCGTTCGTTTATTCGTTCATACGAATGAACAACTCGTTTTAAACTGGCACACTTGACCGCTTTTTACACCAATATCAATACAAAATATTTCAAAATCAATATATTCCCCTTTTAATTATTTAACTTATGTAATTTATTTTCAACGAAACTTCGAACTAACGAAGTTTCTTCTTTATTTTCTTCTTTCTTTTTTTTTTTTTTGTATTTCATTTTTCTCTACAGTTTATAATTAAATTTAATTATAGATTTATCTATGATAAAATGTATGAGAATTGAGATTAAAGATAACGTCAAACTTATATTTTATATATGGCATAAATATATATATATATATATAGATAATTTATTATTAATATACATATATATATACAGAATATGTGTATGCTATTATATATATATATGCATATTATGAGATATTGAAGGATACGTACTGACATTAAAAAAAAGAAACAATTTGATTTTTTGGGGTGAACTTTGTTAAATTTCTTTTTCCAAAGAATTTTAATATATCATTTGTTTATAGTTCAATAGTACATATATAGTTAATAATAATTTGTGTTTTGAATTTTCCGAAAAAGAAAAATATGATGAAATTGTTTAACAAATGTTAACATATTTTTTTTTTATCAACAAGATTATCAAATTTATCTAATCAATGATACGTGTATTTTTTGTAGTATTATTTTTATTTTCTTTTTTCATAAAATTGTTTTGTGTTCATTTATTTATTTATTTATTTATTTATTATTTATTTTTATTATTTATTACAATTATATTTGTGTTTTTTATTTTTTAATTTGTATTCAACGAAGAATTGATTTTTTTTTTCCTTCTATTTTAATTCAATCCAATAAAATAATTACCGTAATTTCCACGGTATTTAATTAACGTGAATGGTACGAAAGAAACCGTGGGAGTGGATATTTTCTCGATAGAGAGGATGATGCCGATCTCTTTATAAATTCCCCTTCACCCTTCCACCCTCCACCAATCGATGAACAAGTTAATGTACTCTATACCTTCTCTCTATCTTATGGTTAGAATGTTTCATCTATCCGTTTAGAATGTCGAGAATTAGATAGAAGAGATAGAAAGAAACATACTTAAATTATGATCAAAATAAAAATAAAAATAAAAAAGAAAAATAAAAATACCTCTAAATATTTAATAATAAATAAATAAAAAAAAATATATATATATATATAATAATAAATATTCAATAAGATAAAAGAGTGATAGAAAAGATAGAAAGAAACATACTACTAAAATTATGATTAAAATAAAAATAAAAAAGAAAAACAAAAATCCTCTAAATAATTAATAATAAATAAATACAAAAAAATATATATACCCTAATTAGGATTATTTATAGTAGTTATTATACATAACCCTTTATTAGGATATATATATATTATATATTATAATAAATATATTATATATTAATATATAATGTAATATTAATATACATTAAAATTATATAAATATATAAATATATTATAAAATTACATTAAAATATTAATATAACATATATAATATATATATTAATAATAAATATATAAATAATAAATATAATATATTATTAAAATTCTTTGTAAAAAGAAATGTACCCCAAAATATCCCTAAAAATCATATTGTTTTATTTTTTTAATGTCAGTACGCATTCTTCCAAATCTCATAATATATATATATATATATATATATATTATAATGACAAAAGAGTTTCTTTAAAACGCCTACTTCTTACGACAGTCTTGTTCTTACAACAGTGACTTCTGAACATTTCACTTCCTGATCATCCTGCACTATACAAGGGAATTTATTATGTAATCGTTTAAACGTTCGACTTTTTAAATCACTCGTTTGGAGAATCATCATCAACATCGAGATGCAATCAACCGTATAGTGTATTCCATTTATACCACGTAAAACAAGTTTAAACTTAAACTTTTTTCATGATTACTTTTCTTTTTTTAAATCCTTATATAGAAATGATGTATTTTACGATAATGGCAATGTTGTTTTTTTTTTTTTTTTTTTTTTTTTACTGTAGTCTATTAATGAAATCATTCGAATTATTGCATTTGAATTATTCAAGACTTGAACAATCGCGAGAATTGCAATAAAATAAAATTTATTTATTTTTTTTTTTTTAATGTTAAACGTCATTGATGAATACCGTTATGTTTGAGGAAAAAAATTTATGAAATAAAAATACAGATGGGGAAAAGACAATATGACGATATGTAATTTTAAAAGGAGGAAAAAATGAAAAATGAAAAAAAAAAAAGAAAAAGAAAATGTGAACGATCGATTATAATCGATTTGAGTAACGTCATCGACAAGAAACCCCCGTTATATCATTAAAATGAATCAGACAAATTGATTATCCCAAGATTCTTTGATAATTAACCATATCCTTTTATTCCATCGAATTAAAATTGAATTTATCTTTATAAATGATTGATCCGTCAAACGTGACAGTTTGACAAACCCGAATAATGTGAAAAAGGAATTTACTTCTTCGTATTTATTATTTAATACATTTCTTATGTCATATAGGAGTATATGTCAAATTAATTCTCATTCGACGTTCATAGTAAATTAGATATAACACGTTGATCAAATATTTATATATTTATATATATATATATATGTATACCTTTCACGTTATCTATATATACTTGTAAATAATTTTTAAGATACATCAATTATGCAGTAGAATAAAAATTATCTAATCGAATAGTTATCGAATACTTTTTAAGAATAAAAAATAAAAAACAAAAAAAAAGAACAAGAAAAGAAGTAAAAAAAATATATAAAAATACATTTAAAAATGATAAAATAAAAATACATTCAAAAAAAAAATAAATATATAAAAAATACATTCAAAAAAAATAAGAAAAATAAAAATACATTTAAAAAAAATAAGAAATATAAAAATACATTAAAAAAAAAAAATAAACAAAATAAAAATACATTCAAAAAAAAAAATACATTTAAAAAATTAAGAAAAATAAAATTACATTCAAAAAAAAAAGAAATACATTCCAAAATAAAATAAGAAAAATAAAAATACATTTCAAAAAAAAAAATAAATAAAAATACATTCAAAGAATTATTGATCGTTTGATAATAAATATTTGTTTTTTTTCTGTTCTTTCTATTTTCTTCTTTTTAAGTCACTGACCGATGCTTGGAAATATTTAAAAAAAAAAAAAAAAAAAGAAAAGAAAAAGAAAGATGGGAAAAAAATAAAAAAGTAAAAAAAAGAAAAACCACGAGTGTGTTGCTTGCATAAGAGTCCTCGACGATCTTGTCTGCTTTCAAAGCATGCGAAAGGCCTCTTTTAACGAGTACGTCAGTACTTTAACCTCGATTTCTTCTTTAAGTCGCTAAAACGATTCCTATCTTGATAATGAGGAATAACCTTCGAAATTTTTATTCTAATTGTTTTTTTATTTATTTTCTATTTCTTTTTTTTTTTTATTTCGTTATTTCTATTTTTTCCATTTATTTACCCCCTACCCCATTTCAAATCAATACAATAATATATATATGTTACTGTTAATTATATATAGTATTAAACTATATTATATAGTTACTATTACTGTTAACTATATAATACTATTAAATTATACTGTATCCTATAAACTGCAAATACTGTATACATATATTTTAAACTATAAAAAAATCAAATTGTATGCTACATATGTATATATAGTACACATCATGATTTGCATGAATGTGTTATTTGCATTAAAAAATACAAATTATAATTATTTATAAAAAATCAACATAATCTGATTGAGAATACTGAGAGTTGAGATCAAATGATAAAAAATAAAATAAAAAGAGGAATTTCTTTTTCTTTCTATATCCGTTCACCGAAATCCAAAATTTTGTAAAAAAAAAAAAATAAAAAAAAAAAAACAGATAAATTTAGTATGCTTATAGAAAAACTTACGGTTAGAACATTTTTGGGGATTAGGAAGAGATAAGAATCTTCCTGGCCTGTTACTGTGTGGTCTAGCTTCATTAATCGCTGGTTCTGCATTGCAGATAGCTGCCAGGACCAATACCAAGGTCAGTGGTAACAGGATCATCTGAAAAATAACAAGATAAATTAAAATAACACGAGTTAGAAGATAGATATAGTGGTATTAGAGAAAGTGAAAAAGAGAGATAAAAAAAAAAAAAAAAGAGGAAAAAAAATAAAGATATAAATATGCGTGACAGGAAGACAAATATTTTCATTAATATACTGAAATCTTTCTAAGAATAATAATAATATTAATAATAATAATAATAATAATAATAATAATAATAATAAATATTTCCAGATAGAGAGAACGTTGTCGTTTGAATTTATATTCTATCTTTACAATTTTATTTTTATTTTTATTTTTATTTTTATTTTATTTTATTTTTATTTTATTTTATTTTATACTTGTCGATAAAATTTTTGCAACGTTCTATTCGCGTATTAAGAATCGTCATAATTAAAATTATATACACACATATGACTCGTAAATATCCTGACAAATATCTTATTGATTTTTAATTGAGTAATTAACACAATCCGAAAAAAAAAAGAAAAACATTTATACAGAATTTTAATATATACACCTCTTCTTGCTTTCTTTTATAACTCCTTAACGATCGGTCGTAGTAAAATAAAATAAAAAATAAATTAAAATAAAAACTAAAAACTATATACATAGATATGTATTATAATAAATTATCAAAAATAAAATAAAATAAAAATGAGAAAGTAAAAAAAAAGTAATCAAATGCAAATGAATGATCTTTAACACTTTGATTTGACACTACTAATATTATTCCAAAAAAAAAAAAAAATACAAAAAAATAAAAAAAAAATTGACAAAAAAACCCAAATTATTATAATGAACTATCAAAAAAAAAAAAATAAAAAAATAAAAAAAATAGGAAAGCAAAAAAAAAAAAATAATCAAATGCAAATGAATTATCTTAACACTTTGGTATGACACTACTAATGTAACTAAAAAAAAAAAAAAAAGAAATAAAAAATTGACAAAAACAACCACACAAAAAAAAAAAACAAAAAAAAAAACAAAAAAGAGAATAACGAATGTTCGTTTCGAAGCTCACCTTGTTTATTTTTTAAGATCCTCTTTTTCTTTTTATAAATTTTTTTTGTTCCTTCTCCTACTACTCCTTCTCTCTCTCTCTCTCTCTCTCTCTTTCTTTAAAAAGTTAAGCCAAGAGGTTGACGGTTAAAGAAACGTAACTGATAGGATGTGGAGAGACGGGCCCCATCGTCGAGGATTATATAGAAACGGTCCCCACCAAGTCCCATAGCTCATCCCACCCTGGATATTGCAAGGACCCAACAGAACACGACGATGTCTGCCTGAATCGATCTTGCTCGTCATTAGAGACCTATTATTAGGGGTTAACCACTTGTACTCACTCGATTTTGTTCATTTTCAAAGGTCAATCGTTTCGTTTCACCCTTTGTCTATCTCTCTCTCTCTTTCTCTCTCTCATTCTCTATCTCTTTTTATCTTTATTTTAAACCTTTTTCATATTTTTTTTTTTATTGTTTTTAACATTCTCTCTTATCGATAAATGATTTCTTTGTACACGCAACTTGACTCGCGTGTAAGATTACATCCTCTTTGTGTAATTTTTTTTATTTTTTATCCGATTTTCTATCACATAAGATAGTGTTTAAAATAACACCTAGAGAGTTTCTTTTATTCTCGTTTAAAGTTAATAATAATAATAATAATAATAATAATAATAATAATAATATATATAAGTGTGTATTTATTTTATATATTTGTTATATATAAAGTTATTTATTGCTTATGATATATAAATTATTATTTTAATTGCCATATCTGTGATATTAATAAATTATATTAATTGAATATAATATATATAATTTAATTAATAATAATTAATATAATATTAATACATACATATATTGAATGTATAAATATATTTATTCTATATATATTATTATAATTGTTATATATATGATATTAATAAATTATATTACTACAATAAAATATATTAAAATAATATTATATAATGTAATATAATATAATATATAATATTAATATATATAATATTTAATATATATACAATATCTATTATAATATAATTACTAATACTATATATGTATATTTATTTTATATATTTATTATATATAAATTTATATATTATTTATAATTTATTTATATTATTATAATTGTCATATAGGTAATTATATAATATATATATATCATAATTATATAATAATATTTATAATATATATATATATATATATATATAATAAATTATATATTAGTAATTAAGTCATTGCTGTTTTTAAAAAGCCATCTATCGACAAAATCCACAATCACTTAGTTGGCAACCCAATAATATATTAAAATAATATAATACAATATAATATAATTAATTATAATTATTAATACATGCATATACTGAATATATAAATAAAACTATAAATAAAAGAACGAAATCCTAGTACACAAAAAAAAGAAAAAGAAAGACATATATTATAATTATATACAAGGTGTCTTATATAAATCTTTCCAATATTTTTCTAAAGACTTGCGGTAAAGTAACCAACAAACATTTTAAACAAAAGTCTATGTATATATTATATGTTAAATATAATTTATGTTATATTATATCATTATATACATTATTGTAAAGGTAAAGAGAGAGAGAAAGACATGTTTTTTTTTATTAATAAGAAAATAATCAATAGTTATTACCAGTATCGTTGTAATATTTAACACACATCTTACATTACATGAGTATTATCCTCTTAACACTTTAAGAATGGAAAGAATGAACTAAGAACTTTCCATTTCTATCCTTTGATATCTATACGAAGGAAAAAATAAAGAAAAGAAAAGAAAAAAAAAAGGAATTTACGTCCATTAACATATCGTCCTGTTTTATGTGCTAAAACACGTTCCTTCCGCGTATTTTTATGATTCTCGAAATAATCGTAAAAAAGATTCGGAGTCGCGTGCGAAATCTCTTCTTTGTATTAATTCAAGTTATAACAAGAAAGAAAGAAAGAAAGAAGTAAAAAAATTCAAATATCCAAGACGAATATGGCAAAGGATCATTTATTTTGATCTATTAAATTACTCTTTTTTTCATGTTTTATTTTAAACATATTATTCTTTTATAATTTCAATTCAATTCTCTCATCACATCAATTGAGATTGAATTGATTTTTCAATAATTATTTAACTCATAACTATTCTTTTGTAATTTCAATTCAATTCTCAACTCATCAGTTGAGATTGAATTGATTTTTCAACAATTATTTAACTCATAACTTATCTTTTTGTCTGTTCATCTTCTTTTCTTCAATTAAAATATGACAAACAAATAATAAATCCTTTATATTAAAAAAAAAAATGATATGAATCATTTTAACAATAATTCAATATTTTTATATATCATTATACAATTATTAATAACAATATTATCATAACTTATGTGTACATTGATTTTTCAACAATTATTTAACTTCAAAACTTCTCTTTTTGTGTTTTTCTTCTTCTTCTTCTTTGTTTTTCAATTGAAATATAAAACAAAAATAATAGATAATTAATAATATAAGAAAATGATAATACAAATTGTTTGAACAATAAATCAATATTTTTATAAATCATTTTACCATTATTAACAACAATATTATCATAACTTATGTGTACATAATACTTCATAGTTACTTTTTTACTAAACTAACCTAAAAAAAAATATAGAAGAATAAAAAGAAGAAGAATTATTTAAACTTCAAAACTTCCCTTTTTTGTATGTTCTTCTTTTTCTTCTTCTTCTTCTTTTTTTCAATTGAAATATAAATAAAATATAGTAGATCCTTTATAAGATGATACAAATCATTTTAACAATAAATCAATATTTTTATCTATTATTTTACAATTATTAACAATAACATTATCATAATTTATGTAGACATAATACTTCATAGATACTTTTTTACTAAACTAACCTAAAAAAAATATAAAAGAAGAAGAAAAAGAAGAAAAAGAAGAAGAAGAAGAAGAAGAAAAAGAAGTAAAAGAAGAAGAAGAAGAAGATCCGTTCTTGTAATTGCTCTCGTGTTGTAACCTATCTCTCTCTCTCTCTCTCTCTCTCTCTCTCTCTCTCTCTCTCTCACACACTTTTCCTCTCTGAATGTTTTTTTATTTTTATTATTATTTATTTTCTCATATTTTCACCATAATCGCTTTGGCACGACACGTGTACGCTCACGTTCATTTAATAAAAATATACAATAGAGTGATTAACACTTGAAGCAATTTAGATATCAATCTTCTTTCTTTCTTTCTTTCTTTATATATATATATATATTTTTGTTCTTTTCTTTTTCTTTTTCTCTTAAGCTAAGTACTTTTCTAACGATTACGATTTATCAACGAAATTTTTGTCTGTTGACTAACTCTCTTTTTCTTTCTTTCTATCTTTTGAAAGATATTATTTGTTATTATCATCGTCAAGAGAAGTGAGCTACCAAATTTCCAAAATGACAATCACGTGTAAGAGTATCCTTCTTTTTCCATGATTGGTACTCTTCTTCTTCTTGTTCGGGTTTCTTCGACGATGACCTTGAAGATGCGCCTTGTTAACTTTCACCATGGCAACGAAGGTGCCGACGAGGAACGAACGGGAATCATCAGCGTCGTAGTCAATGTCATCCACGTTGCAACAACTTGATTAGTATTCTTTTCTAGCATTTTCGAACGAATTCAATTTTTTATTTTTGTCCTTAATTATTCCGAAATAATAAATATAGATGTAGCAGAAGCAAAAGAAGAAAAATAAAAATAAGAAGAAGAAGAAATATAAAAATGAATGAGAGAGAATGAGAGAATGAAAATAAAAATTATGACAAATTTTATATTTAATTTTATATATAATATTTTATTTAAATATTCCTTCTCTCTCTCTCTCTCTTATGGTTGCTAACTATCAAAATCATTACTATAATTAAAAAAAAAAGAGAAAATACAAAAAAATAAATAAAATTCACTTTCATGGATCATCTGACGATGAAAATAACTTTTTGTGAATTATTTCTTCTTTTTTAATTTTTTTTTTTTTTTTTTTGAATTATAGTAATGACTCGTTAATTTCTTTGGATGGTTAGCAACGGATAAGAAGGAATATTTTACGTAGACGATGGTAGTCACATGGTAGTCACAATGGATATCGTTTCACTTCAATACACGGTTTACATATCGATGCAATAACTATCGGTTGGAAGGTTGGTAAGTTCTCGAAACCTGTTACGTGTACTCACGTGATGCATCTCCGTTTACGATAATGCACTAATGCTTACACGTAATATATATACAGGTAAATTGTACATACTCGTGATGTATCCATTAAAATTTGTTTATTCAACGAATTTTTTACTAAATAATTAAATATAAAGACAAAATATTATATATAAAATATCAATGAATTTATTTTAATTATTATTATCATTAATAATATTTAATTGAATTAATTTCATTGATTATTAAAATTTAATTTGATTAAATAGATAAAAACTTTACTAATCAAATTCACAACTGTATAAGTTTTTGAAATATTGCAAAAAAAGATATCATGAATTTTATTCTCAAAAAGGATAAGAAGGGTGAGGATGAATTTTATTTACAAATATGGATGAATTTAATATTATAGTAAATAATAATAATAATAATAATAATTTGTTCGTAATATATTATTCGGCATATGTACGTATTTTAACTGTTACGTTTAAATGTTAATAAAAAAGGAGATAATTAAATGCGATTAATGTGAACAGGATCGAAGTATCAGAGTTTCGATGGAATGCGAAAAGAGAGCGGGTGAACGTAGTTAGAGCAGATGGGATTAGATTGGTGATGATAGGAGGAAAGAGAGAGTTAGTCATAGTTGTTTGAGAGAGTTTCTTTGCAGAAGCGGATGTAAATTGAAATAAGAGCAAAGAATTTGATCAACTAATAAAAGAATGTTTTTGTTTTACCGTATGATCATTAAATTATTCTACATATATATAGTACTCTGCAAATTATATAAATATAATGCACTGATTAACTAGGATGATTCGTTAAAGTATCGAAAATTATTTCATTTTTCAAAT